ACCCACGGCCTTGGTGTTATCAGCACCGCACTCTACCGAGTGAGCCACGGGCCGGCCCAAGTTTATATACATTTAGAAAGTGATTTATGGTGAATGACTTTTTAAAAAGAATCATAAAGTTTAAAATTTGTCAATATACATTTATTTTTTGGCTTCAATTAATAATTTTCAGTGTAAAAAAAAATACTATCATTGTCATATTTCTATATTAATGCATTTTCTCATTACCTGATTCAACAGCTTGTGACTTTTTCCCATTATGCTGATCAAGAGTAATCAAACATCCTGATGCTCTTCTCACATCCCATAATTTTACTCTACTGTCAGCACTTAGAAGAAATAAATGTTATATTGATATATACGGCTAGGATGGTGACTGTATCCCTCACCCACCTTTCCAGCATTATGGTACACAGAGGTCTCAATATATCAGCATAAACATATTTGCACATTTGTGTTGTTGTAATTTTGCCTTTTCGAAAAATATTCAACAGTCAATAGTAGCATAAAGAACTGAAAAAATAGCAAAAAAAAAAAAAAAAAATTCTGTTTCATATCACAAGGACAAAATTCTGCTACTTTTTACACTGTTTTTAATTACATGAGCATCTTTTCCCTAAAGGACTAGACAGGCTTGTAGCTTGTTCCTGGTAAGTTTGTTACTACATCTTTTCTACTGTTTGTTATCCAAGTGCTGTCAAGACAATCAAACAAGTAAATAATTTCACTTTGCTGAAGAATCCATTTGACATAAATTTTGTGGTTTTTTCTTCTTTTTACACATAAAAAAATTAGAGTAAGGTAAATAATGAAGACAATGTATTTTCATTCAGCTTCCTGCACTCAAATCAATCTTTGCCAGGTATATGAGAACTACATTTAATGTCTCCTGGAAACTAGACACTTATTTTCATTTTCTTTCAAGTAACCAAATAGAAAAAGGCAAATCCTTGATCATACATCAATTTCAGCATCTAGGATACTCCTAAAGAAAAATGCCCAGCAGTCCTCTGGGCCCCTAATCAGTTCAACTGATGCTATGTCTTCACAAAGACTTTAACAGTATTCTAATCCATTGGGTTTATCCATACCATTTTAATAAGAGAGAGCATTATATTACATTTTATAAGCCTATTTTTCATTTATAATTTTAAAAAAATATACACACAGGGTTGTTTCTATAATCTTGATTCTTTTCACAGATTACTATCAAACTTAGCCAACTGGAATAGTCAGCAAAAAGCTAGTATTTCCTGTTCTGATTTTGGTTTTCTTTCTTTCCAGCTGAGGAAAATGTCTACAATGGGATGAGTCTAAGGATTTATGTCTCTTCTGAAACATATTAGATTTGGACATACCCAACTATCAACACTGATTACCAGGTCCATTCTCGTACTGATTCAAATTCCTGGGGTACTCTGAGCATTGAAAGCCTCCTAGTTTCCTTCTCATCTGAGGAAAACCAAATTAAGCACAAACAATGTAAACCTACCCTAGCACGGACCCACAATCAGCACTTAGCTCCTCACCTTCATACCACTTTAGCCAGTTTTCGTATGGCTACAATTTAAACCTTGCTGTACTTCACAAATGATAAACTTCAACATCACATTCTGCAAACTATAATTAAACTGTGACAGAGAGGGAGGGCTGGCAGCTTTAAAAAAAAATTCCACACATATCTTTATAAAACTAATATGAATAGATTTTGTAATAACTCTTCTACAAAATGCTTTATTAATATGTTAATACCAAAAAAGAAAAATCTTTGACTACTACTTCCTATCTCTTCAATTTATGAATTTTCTTACTCTGCCACTCATACTTTTACCTCATTAGGTCCTTAATCCCTCCTATAAGCCTTTTTGTGACTTTATTTCCTTCACTATACCCATGACTTCAACAATTTTCAGACATGGAGGTATTTTCTTTTAAACACTGGAAATTGTTAAGTCTGTGTCATTTAATGTTTTGATTTCTGTGGCTTAGTATAGCTGTGGTCTACTCCTTCAATTGAGCACAAATGCCTAGCATTACTATGTTCCCCTAATCAGCTCCCTGTCCATTCAATCTGTTATTCTGATCTTTACTACCTTCCCTCAAAATTGCATTACCATCCCTATATTTTCAACAGATGACATGAAATTCCACTCCACTAAAAAACAATAGAAGCCATTAGGTTTGCCTTTCTTGAGCTTCCCTGCCAAAGCTACAACTTAACTGTATTCACATCCACCTTTTCCTACTTCTGTTTAGTCTCACAGTGCCCAATCAAGTGCCTCCATTTATCTAGACTCTTGATACTACCCCATCCTGTCTATTCAAGGTCCTGATGCACCAATTTTCCCCTCCATTTCTTATCTTCACCCATTTATCTCTACTGGTACTTTCTCCCCAGCATATAAATATGCAGTACTCTTTCCTTCAACAAACACACAAAACCCCAAAACCTTTTGATTCTCCCAGAATTAAGGGCTCCTTCCTTTCTTTTCCAATATTACACCTACCAAAGATATACCTCTATTAGAGCATTTTTCAAGATGTCCTGTAATCACTGATTTTTCTGACTATATTCCTCATCAGACTGTTAGCTTCTTGAAGCCTTGATTACTTCTGTATCCCTAAGACTATGCTTGGAACATGGTAGGCAGTCATTAAATATTAGTAAACTGAATCAGTGAGTAGTGAATGTGTTGCATCAGATTCAAAATAATTCTGGGTTAAGAAAATGAATAAAAATATGACTATTTTTAAATTAACATAGTGTCATAGTTTTGTGTACAAAAATGACACAACATGGTTTTTTTACTAGTAGTGCTTGCAGATTTGCTTTAAAACATAGATTCTCATGTTTTCTCTTTTCTAAAAGGTGAACACCTTCAAGATGAATGGTTAGGATTAGGAGTATGATGCAAATGGAAGATTTCTTTTGATGATATGAATTAAAATCTCTAACTCAATATTTCATTTTTAAGGGGCTAATTAATACTTAAATGATAAAATTTGTATCTTACATAAGTGTAATCTCTTCAAAATGCTTATTATTAACTACTAACATTAACTTCAAAACCAAATAAGTTGGATTTTACCTTGCAGTTGCCAAGATGTAGTCATAACGTGGTGACCAGGAAACTGCCAATATTTCCTGTCTGTGACCTGCAAACACAAATGTATGAAAAGTCTTGTTGAAATATTTGAAAAATTAAAAGATAAAGTGCCAATAATTTTGCCAAGTTTTCAAGAAAGTGAGGCTAAGTATTAAAAGTGCATAAATATGATGATCATTTTTTCTCATTTGTAATAATCTATGTTTAAATGCTGATGTGAAGTCTATGGGGGTATTTCTAACCATAATATTTTATTATAAAGGGACTGGTTTTGCTTTGGAAAAAACAGTCAGAGCAAGTGAATCTTTCTTTTTCAACACAGTTGTTAGGCTATATGAGTCAATCCATATAACTCCAGCTCAATTACGTATCTCTACAACAAAAAGCCACTGCAGTAAAACATACAAGATACACATATTAAGTAATAAAAGTGTTTTCCAATTTCTCATAAAGTTATAGCAGAAAAAAATTAACTCATGAATGCAAAAACACATCTGTATTTTTTTTTTTTTAGAAAGCACAGGTGATAAGGTCACAGGATAAGTGATTTCAACATTTTAATTCACTTTTAACTAATGGAACTACTCAAATAAGACATTTTCATCTGTCTAGCTTTTATTAATAGAAATTCATAATAATGTAAAAAAATGGTACTGATCTCACTAAGTTTTCTTGATATATCTGTGTTTCTCAGAGATGAATGAAATGTATATGAAAATGTATATTTCTGAATTACATTCCACCTTTTCATTGTTTAGAATACTGATAAAAAAAAGTAATGAAAATAATTTAAATGAGGGTACTTCAAAAATTCTTGGAAAAGTACTTCAAAAAGTTCATGGAAAAATAGAATTAAAAGAGAATATGAATCTTTCCAAGAACTTTTTGAAGTACCCTCACATAACTTTACCAAAGTATTATTTCAACATCATTTTTTATAACATTTTTTACTTAGAAAAAAATGCACCTAAATATTAAGAACAACATTTACTCATTATCCATAATAATATTAAACAATGCTCATGAGTCAAATGTACTGATGTAAATTTTATTAGTGGTTTACTTCTTAAAATGTAGAAATAAGACAAGGTTTGGAATTAGATCTTCTATTTTCTGTATCTTTTGAGCTTCCCCTATGGCCATTGTTTATATCAATGTCTCCTCAATCGTTCAGTTTTATAAGAATAAGGCACAGAAGGATCTTTATTTCCCTGTTGACTTTTAACAACTAGCACAAAATACATCAGTCATGTCACTTACAAAGAATACATTGTTAGTAATGTTTCCTTTTATTGTATGGTTTACTCAAAGTAGTTGTTTGAAAAAAAAAAAATACCCTGTAGAATGTGGGAACAGGATCCAGACTTTAAATCACAAAGTTGTACTTTGGGTCCTCTAGTACCAACTGTAAAAACAAAACGAAAACGGTTTAAGGTAATTTTATTATGAACCATCATCAAAAGGAAACAAGACATTACCATTAGGAAACATGCTATTTTCACTGTATCCATGCAGAAATATAAAAATGTATGCCAAAAGTACATTTCAAATCATTTTTAATGTTTAGTATTAGAAAAATTATTTTACTATAGTTACACTTTAGTAGTAAGAACTCTATTATTGCATTATTTTTTATTTTGAAATAATTACAGATTTGCAAGAAGTTGCAAAACTAGTATAGAGAGGCCTATGTACCCTTCACCTAGATTTTCCCAATGATTATACGTTAAGTAACTGAAGTATAATATCAACACCAGGAAATTTATTTGGTAAATGTGTGTGTATAGTTCTATGCCATTTTATCACATCAAATCATTTTATTTTAATAGTTTAGTTTTTCCAAGTTAATGATATACTTTCAATCACTAGTAATAGATTACAGAAACTCTGGACACAAACTGAATGGACTTTAAAGACAAGTTAGTACCTAGCTCTTCTTTACAGATGAAAAAAGCTGATTGATGTCCAGAGGTGAAGAGAGTCAGGCAGTGCCACAGAAATAATGGAATCACAGGCACCAGATACCTGACACCAGAAAGTCATTTTTTCTTCCATATATATAAAAATTTTGCTGCAGGTGCTTTCATATAAATGAATGTTTAATTTGAATTACAATCTTAAAGAGAAGGAAATAATTTCCTTGTTTTATTATATTGAACTGAAAAAGTTGCCAAATTTTGTTCATGTAAAATCTTTGAACTTTGGCGGTTTAAAAGTAACTCTTTAGGGGACAGTAATATGCTTTCTTAATCTTTGTATCCTAGCCAGTAGTACAGTGCCTGACTTGTACAGTATCTGGTGAACTGAATATAAATAGCAGCATATACTTAAAAAACAATTGTAATCTTCATCTGAGTTAGAATGTCTATATCAAAGCTAACTAGATATAAAGAGGGAGAACGTTTTCAATATGCTAAATAAAAGACAAAAGAATACACATACAAACCTGCTACCAAACAGTGCTTAGTGGCGACTGGAGACATGTGATGACTGTAAACTGTTTCCTCAAAGTTAAATACATCTGCAGTCTGATAATCCAAAAACATTTAAAAAGTGTAAGTTCTAAGTATAAAAACAGAGCAACAAATTTTCTACTTACTTTTTCTATACTTTTAGCTATTTTAAAATTGTTAGCAATTTAACTCAAACATAAAAATGTAATAATTTTAAATTATTAAAAATAATGATTGTTGTGTATTTATTTTTAGCTCCCACAAATAAATGAGAACATGTGGTATTTCTCTTTCTGTGCCTGACTTATTTCGCTTAATGTAATTTTTTCTAAGTCCATCCATGTTGTTGCGAATGGTAGTATTTCATTCTTTTTTATAGCAGAGTAGTATTCCATTGTATAGATATACCACTTTTTCCTAATCGACTCATCTGATGATGGACATTTGGGCTGGTTCCAACTCTTGGCTATTGTCAATAGTGTTGCAATAAACATTGGAGTACAGGTATCCCTTCAACATGATAATTTCCATTCCTTTGTGTATATTCCCAGCAGTGGAACAAAACTCACAATTCCTTGAACTTGTTAAGACAAGTGCACAGATATGATGTTGATGGATGGGAGGGGGGAGAGGGAAGGAGAGAGGAATCGGTAAAGGGACATGAAAATCAACTACATTGTATATTGATAAAATAAAATGAAATAAAGTAAATTCCCCTATTGGTGTTCAGATCTCCTTCAGCACTGTCAGAAATCTCACCCTATAAATTATCTCCTGGGTATGTTTATAACCTCTCTTCCTACTGGCTCATTTCCAACAGCACTAAAAGTTCAAGTTTCTTTCATCTTAACAGCAGCCCTCTCCCCAAGACAAAACAACAAAAAGCATTTACACCTTATATTCTCTCTAGTTAACCAGCTTTCCTCCTCTTCAAATCCTAATTTTGACTATCTCTACTTATCTACCATGTATTTCTCAACTCACTGAAATCTTATTTTTATTTCCACTACTCTCATTCACACTACTGTTCCAATATCACTGATAGCCTCCTTATCTTACCTAATCTGTCATGCAACATAGCTAACTACTCCATCTTTCTTAAAATAATCTCTTTCACTGGCTTCCCATTATATCATATACTCCCAATTTTCTCTTACTCTCTGGCTACTCCTTTTCATTGTCTTTTGCAGGCTTTGTTGTTCCTTTTTCTGTCCTATTGATCTTGGTCTTCCTCCAGTTCTATGCACTCTTCTCTTCAACTGCACCTACATGCTAGTGAGTCACAAACCTGTATTTTCAGTGTAGACCTCACTCGTAAATTCTAGATAAGTACAGCTGAATTCTTAAATTATCTCCATTTGGATTTCTTGTAAATCCCTCAAAATTAACAAATCTAATATTGAACTCATCACTGTCATCCCTTCCTTATCTTAGTAAATAACAATATAATCCACCCAATTCCCAAGCTAGAGAACCTGGGAGTCATTCTTGATTTTTTTGAACAATAATGGCTTTATTGAGATATAATTCACATACCATAAAATCCACCCATTTAAAGTATGCACTTCAACAGCTTTTAGTATATTCAAAGAATTGTGCAAATATCATAATAAATGTTAGAACTCTTTCATTACCTCAAAATAAATCTATAACCATTAGCCGTCACTCCCTCATTTTCTCCCCACCCCTTGCCCTAGACAACCACTAATCAACTTTGTCTCTATAGATTTGCTGATTCTTGACATTTCATACACATGGAATTATACATGTGGTCTTTTATAATCTTTCATTTAGCATGTTTTCTTCTTTCATTTAGCATAATGTTTCCAAAATTCATCCATATTGTAGCATGGATCAGTACTTCACTTTTTATTGCTGAATAATATTCCATTGTATGGATATGAATGTTATCAATTCACCAGTTGTTGGACATCTCAGCCACTTTTTGGCTATAGTGAATAATGCTGCTAGGAATACTTGTATACAAGTTTTTATGTAGACATATGTTTTTCCCTTGGGTATATAGCCAAGAGGGGAGTGCTTAATTTTATGGTAACTCTACATTTAACATTTTGAGGAACTGTTTTCCAAAGCTGCTGCACTATTTTACATTCCCACTAGCAATGTATCAGGGTTTCAATTCATTCACATCCTCACCAATTTGTTATTATCTTTTTGATTATAGCCATCCTAGTAGTATGAAGTAGTATCTTATTGTGGATTTAATGTCTATTTCTGATGGCCATTTTTTATTTTTCACTTGTTAATGGCTAATTCATTTCCAACTCCTACCAATTCTCTCATAAATAATCTCTCATATCTATTTATTCCATTGCCATATTCTACTCAGGCCACTATCTACTCTTGCCTGGATTAATGCAACCTCCTATCTGGTTTGACTTTCCTCTTGCAGCTTTTTATTTAATTTTTTCATTTTGCCTGTTTTCTTCTTAGACTCTCCAGTGGCTTACTTTCTCTCCCATGGTGGAAAAAAATCAACCTACTCAAAATTTATAAGACTCCTCTTGATGTAGACCCTGCTTACCTTTCTGGCCACTTTTCTTTGTTACTCTATATAGCCAAACTGCGCATCTTTCAGTTTTTAAAATGTCATGTTCACTGTTACCCTCAAGAGTTCTCACATGCTGTTCCCTCTGCCTGGAACTCTCTTCTTCCTCCCATGGATGTGGTCAACTTCTACCCATCATCCTTAATCTCAGCCTAAACACCACTTGCTTTGGAAAAGGTTCCTTGAATTCCCCATAGGTTAGGTGACCCTGATAAATTACCACGCACTTTTCTTGGTATAGCCCCTTTCAGACTTTACTGATATATATATTTTTTTCTTTTTTTGACCGGTAAGGGGATCGCAACCCTCGGCATGGTGTGGTCCGCACCACGCTCAGCCAGTGAGCGCACCGCCCATCCCTATAAAGGATCCGAACCTGCGGCCTCGGTGTTACCAGTGCCGCACTCTCCCGAGTGAGCCACGGAGCCAACCCCTGATATTTCTTGTTTAATCTTGTTTAATTTGCCTTTCTTGCTAAACCTGAAGCTTCTTGATATAGTGCAGGCACAATGTCTATTTTGCTCGCCACTGAATCCCTAGTTCTAACATGTAATGGACATGTAAAAGATGCTTGTTGGATAAATTCAAGAGTCTTAGTTATTTTTAAGAACACGTCCTGGATATTGACATCAGTATTTTCTGAATAATATTCCCTTATGCAAAATTTTAAGAAAACTCAGAATGAGAGAAAAGCTGCTCTCCCTCTTAAAGTTTAATAGAAAAGACTATAGAGGAGGTATTCTTCTAAACCATATCATACACTCAAGTCATAAAAACATGTTCATGAAAAAACTTAGATGAAGTAAAGGTGTATAATGTATTAATAGGAAAAATTAGTGATGGGGCAGAGGATAGGGAGGAGGGCAATATCATGCCTTCCTTATTTTTCTTTGCACCTAGCAGGTACACAATAAATTATTTCTTATTGAATCCTTTCAAAGTTCTTATCAATAAAATGCTGTCAAACTTTTACTTCAAACAGAATTATGAACTCATGGAATACTGTTTCAGTAAGGAAAACATTTATGTTCTAATTAAAATTTAAATTCAAGATGTCTTAGGGTTTTAAAAGAAGTCATTGTTAAGGAACGAAAATGCAAATACAAGGCTTATTAATTTTTAAAGTACACTTTTAACTGTGGTGTAACAAACATACAGAAAAGTACACAAATTATAAGTGTATAGCTCGAGTTTTCACAAAATGAACATATCCAGGTAACCACCACTTGAATTATAAAACAGAACATTAGAAACACCCCAGAGGCCCCCTTTCAGTTACAACCCCTGTCAACAAAGATAACCACCATACAGACCTCTATCACTATGGATCAGTTTTGTCTATTTCTAAACCTTCTATAAAGGGAATCATACTAGGCATTTTTTTGTATTTGGTTTATTTGTCTAATGTTATGTTTGTAAGATTCACACATTTTGTAGCATATATAAGTCTTCTCTTATCTTTGTTGAGATAGTATTAAAATTTGCCAGACTTCATTAGACTGTTAGTGGACATTTGGGTTGTTTCCAGTTTTTGATTATAATGAACAGTGCTGCTATGAACAATCTTGTATGTGTCTTTTGGTACACATATGTCACATTTATATACTGAAAAGCATAATTACTGGGTCACAAGGCATACATATATGTGGTGTCACAGTTTTGGTGCCACAGTCAATACTAAATATCTATATCAATTTATAGTCCAATCAGCAATATATGCTATTATCATCAGTTGCTTTAATTTTAGCCATTCTGGAGGGTATACAGAGATATCTCATTGTGGATTTAATTAACATTTCTAGGTGCTCTATTAATAAAGTCAAACACTTTTCATTTATTTATTGGCCATTTGGATATCCTCTTTTCTTTCTTTTTGTAAATTTTATTTTGGTGGCTGGCAGGTACAAGGTATCTAACCCTGGACCTTGGTGTTATCAGCACCATGCTCTAACCAACTGAGCTAACCAGTCAGCCCTGGATATCCTCTCTTCTAAAGTGCCTGTTCAAGTATTTCGCATATTTTTATATAGGGAGTGTCTGCCTATTTTAAGCCATGAAGACATTTTCCTGTTTTCTACTATAAGCTTTGTTTTATCTTTCACATTAGACGTACGATCCATCTGAAACTGTAGACACAATTTTGTGTTTGCTCTCGGAAGGTTGAGGTCAAGATTCATTGCTTTTTTTTTTTTTTTTAATACAGATACCTAGCAGTGTTAGTATCATCATCAATCAAATGACTGTACACAAATGGGTGTTCCTTGATTCTCTATCCTGTTCCACTGTTTTGATTTTTACTTGCACCAATATTACACTGCCTTATCTAATGTAGCTTTATAATAAGTCTTGGTATCTGGTAGTGAGGTCCACCAATTTCATTCTTCTTCAAGAGTATCATGTCCCTTTTCATTTGCATATAAACATTAGAATTAGCTAATGAATTTCTACAAAAGAATCCTCCTAAGATTTTGGTCAGATATGCACTGATTCTATAGATCACTTTGGG